TACTGACGTCTCCCTTATTATCAACACACTAAAAAACAAGACAGGAGATTTAAATACCTTACCACCCTTTATATACAAAAAAGCGTCACAAGTACTGTCAACAGTCATTGCAACACTCTTTAACAAATCCATAGAATCCTCTACCTTCCCTACAGTTCTCAAAATAGCAAGGGTCACCCCCATCCATAAAGGAGGAGACCACACAGACTTGAATAACTATAGGCCAATATCCAACTTACACCCTCTCTCTAAAATCTTCGAAAAATTAATTCATAAGCGAATCTATTCCTACCTCATCTCCCACAACATACTCAAACCCCTGCCAATTTGGGTTCAGGCCTAATAAAAATACTAATGATGCTATTATACACATGCTAGAACACACATACACTGCAATAGAGAAAAAAGAAGTCCCACTGGGGATCTTCATAGACTTACATAAAGCTTTCGATACAGTTGACCATGACTTGCTCCACATAAAATTGTCGCACTATGGTATAAGAGGGCACTCCCTCAACTACCTAAAGTCTTACCTCAGCAACAGAAGCCAATATGTGTACACAAACGGGGCAAACTCTTCAGCACAGCCAATTACAGTTGGTGTCCCACAGGGAAGTGTTCTAGGCCCTCTTCTCTTTCTCATATACAGAAATGACCTACCAAATGCATCGCAACTACTCAAACCCACACTATTTGCAGATGACACTACATACGTCTTCTCTCACCCGAGCCCAGTCACGCTAGCCAATACTGTAAATACCGAATTACAGAAAATATCTACCTGGATGAGTACTAACAAACTTACTCTAAACATTGACAAAACCTACTTCATTCAGTTTGGTAACAGAGCTACAGACGTCCCTCTTAACATAATGATAAACGGATCACCTATCACAAAACTCACAGAGGGAAAATTCTTAGGAATCCACCTGGATAATAGACTCAAATTTCAAACACATGTACAACTAATTTCCCAAAAAATTTCCAAGACCGTAGGCATACTATCGAAGATACGGTACTATGTTCCACAGTCAGCCCTTCTGGCCCTATATCACTCACTTATTTGCCCCTATCTCACCTATGGAATTTGTGCATGGGGCTCAACAACAATAAACCATCTCAGACCATTAATTACCCAACAAAAGGCGGCAGTCAGAATGATAAATTCCCACTACAGGGAGCACACTCCACCAATATTCAAAACTCTAAACCTACTCACCATACAAAACATCCATACTTATTACTGCACCTACTACATTCATAGAACACTTAACTCTGACTCTGATATAAACCCTCCCCTCAAACGTCTCCTTACCAACCTCAACAGAACACGTGACCATAACACAAGGCACAGATCACTCTTTGATGTTCCTCGAGTCCATCTCACGCTATGCAAAAACTCAATGCACATAAAAGGCCCTAAAATCTGGAATTCATTACCTGTGAATATAAAAGAAACACTGTTTATAAATTCAAGTCTCTTCTCAAAAATCACTTACTCACCCACAACTAAATAAATACTGAATTAATTGTATCTCATAAATTGTATCTCGTAAATGTTTCTCATTATTGTATCTCATAAATGTCTAACCTGTGACTCAATCAAACTTTATTTTTTAATTACATTACCTAACAGAATACTCCAATCTACTGAATGCTCAGCAACACAGTAATGACCATATGACCTGTCTTTGTAATACTCATTTGTGCTAAATTGTTATCTGTTTACAATAATGTTTTTACCACTGAATATATCATTGCTTAGTTAATCTTAAGTTAATTTTAAGCCTGCCCGTAATGCTCTGCATACAAGGGGCTTTGGCATGTTGCACTGTAATAACTGTATTCCTTTGTATTTCACTGTATCATGTTCAAATTAATAAATAAATAAATAGAGGAAGGGATTACTAGCGATGAGCTTCTTGGGAGGGACTTGCAAGTATGTGATATTAAATGAACACATCATCCATGGAGGTGTGAAATGCTCTTGTTGTCTACAGTGATACAGTTTGTGCAAGTTATAACACTTAGTATAATTGCATGTTTTCACAATTATTTAGATCTGTGTGTGTATTTACTTCTAGACATTGAGTAAGATTCATAGTGACACTGGTTCATTTCTTAACATTCTAATACCAATAATCCTGTCACTGGTAGATTTAGGACAGCCAAGAATAATTCTGAGGGCTTCATTTTGCATTAATTCCAAGGGTCGGGGAGAACTTTCCTTGGATAATGTCAATATGGGAGCAGGATAATCAATTAAGGCCATAACATAGGCTGTGTACATGATTCTTACTATTCTCACATTAGCACTATAGTTGGGGTTGTAGCCAGTAACAGCTTTGAGAGCATTTAGTCTGTCTTTGCATTGCTTATTTAGTTGTGGTATGGTGAATTTATTGAAGGGTACATCTACACCAAGATATCTACAGGATTTAACGTAGCTAATGTTGTCACCCTGCAAACAGATGGGTGGAGGATGTCGTTTGCTTATCAATATCTTTATTTTAGATGAAGATATGATAAGGCCTAATCGATTACAAATTTCTTGAACTTCGTTAATAATGGTACTCATCTTCTTTTTCCCTGTTGTATGGATCATGATGTCATCAGCATACCTTATAACTATATGTTTAGATGCGGCAGGTAGAGCATTTAGGGTGATAATACTGAAGGTAGGTTGTGAGAGTCATGCTGGTGATAGTACTGAAGATAGGTTGTGAGAGTCATGCTGGTGATAATACTGAAGATAGGTTGTGAGAGTCATGCTGGTGATAGTACTGAAGATAGGTTGTGAGAGTCATGCTGGTGATAATACTGAAGATAGGTTGTGAGAGTCATGCTGGTGATATACTGAAGTAGGTTGTGAGAGTCATGCTGGTGATAGTTCTGAATATAGGTTGTGAGAGTCATGCTGGTGATAATACTGAATATAGGTTGTGAGAGTCATGCTGATGATAATACTGAAGATAGGTTGTGAGAGTCATGCTGGTGATAGTACTGAATATAGGTTGTGAGAGTCATGCTGGTGATAGTACTGAAGATAGGTTGTGAGAGTCATGCTGATGATAATACTGAAGATAGGTTGTGAGAGTCATGCTGATGATATACTGAAGATAGGTTGTGAGAGTCATGCTGGTGATAATACTGAAGATAGGTTGTGAGAGTCATGCTGGTGATAGTACTGAAGATAGGTTGTGAGAGTCATGCTGGTGATAGTACTGAAGATAGGTTGTGAGAGTCATGCTGGTGATAATACTGAAGATAGGTTGTGAGAGTCATGCTGGTGATAATACTGAATATAGGTTGTGAGAGTCATGCTGGTGATAGTACTGAAGATACTTTGTGAGTCATGCTGATGATAGTACTGAAGATAGGTTGTGAGTCATGCTGGTGATAATACTGAAGATAGGTTGTGAGAGGCATGCTGGTGATAGTACTGAAGATAGGTTGTGAGAGTCATGCTGGTGATAGCACCACTTCACTGCATTAGCGTTGATAATCATATTGCTGTTAAATATGAAGGTGAAAGCTAATGCTAGGGTCATATAGCGCTGGGGATGGAGAGTGATCTGGTGTATACTGAGGAAAGGTTGTAATTAATTCTTTAAATCAAGATACTCTTTCGGCAGAGGCATCCCCCCCTGTCCCCTACCCCCAACTTCAGGCTGTCTATTAAGCGTTATGATAACTATTTTTTGCTGTATTAAATTGAAGGCGAATAAACGTTCTATAACGCATAATTATAGCTGTCCCAAGGAGTGATCAATTGCCAAATCATAAGGTAAATGTATTATCATAATGTCTTTAAGGATATAGAATGCCTGTCTGGCCGGGATAAATCTGAGCAGTTTCTATCCTGTCACCTCTACATCTCAAAAGATACCCTTGAGTTGGTGAAGGTTCTCATGTAAGGTAAGTGAAGCTTACCTTTTTATTATGATATATGCTTCGCTGTGAGGCGCGAATAAGACCTTGTTTTTCCTGATTAACCTATAATTATTCTTGTCCCAAGATAATACAACCTTTGCCAAGATTCCATTAAGGGTAAATGATGTATACAATAATGTATATAGTGATATATGAATGCCGGTCTGGAGCCGGGGATAAGATCTGAGTCAGGTTTGGTATCTGTCACCTCTGACATCTCATGAAATGATACCCTTGATGTTGGTGAAGGGTTCTTGATCGAAGGAGTTGAAGCTTCCTTTTTTTATCAAATATATTTGTCTTTCCGCTATGTGGTGTATGGCCCCTGCGGATTTAGCGCTTCACTATAAATATAATAATGAAATAAAGAGAAGAATTAGGAATAACTTCAGTGGGGTTTCCTTGGTACAAGTCTCACTTTAGTGCTACTTGAGTATGTCTTAAACAGGATTAAGTAGGACTTGAAAAGTAAGGGTTGAATAGGGTTTAAGTAGGAAGTAAATAGAATCCAAGTAGGACGTTAAATAGGAATTAAGTAAGATGAGGAGGACTTAAGTAGGACTAAGATCCCCCTGGATGTGAGCCTCCGGCCCGCTGTGGTTAGCCTTCTCCTCTACCCACCCACCTTGCAACTCTCTTGCCTCTTTTTCTCTCAATATTCTCTTTACACTTTCTCTCATTAAAGCCCATTTTAGTTTCGCTAGCCGGTTGATAATGTGCAACTGGGTGGCTGTAATAAGCCGAAGTTATAGAGGAAGGGAGTGAGACTATCAGCTGCCACTGATGTATCCTGGGCTGAGGGAATTTACCTCTCTTGAAGGACCACCTTCATATTTACAGTGGACAGTCTGCCAGAGACGCACTCTCTGAAAATTGATAACGTTTGTGTAAATCTTACACCTCATGGCTCTTGCAGTTTATCTCATGTAGTGTATTTGAAGACATAGTTTCGTGTTTACAAAAAATTGTCGGAGGCCAAAAGGTCGCTGTTTGGTGGGGAAAAGATAAAATAGACAGAAATTGCGGTGTAGTAACAGGAGGCAGACTTGGCGGCCATCGTCTGCGAGGCTGCTCAGTCAGTGTTGTGCTCCGGGTGGGTGTGTACGTGCTGGCGCACACTCCTGTGATAGTGTCTCTTGTGTTTAGTACCTCCCTTTGTAAGCATCGATTTATTAGCTTTCTATAACATTCCTAGAAAATGTGAAGTGTCATTTGAAAAGCAATGGCGATTGAGATAGTTTGGAAAAGTGCAGCAAATGAGGATAATTATCTGATGTGTCGTTGAAGTTGCCCGCTAGCCGAGGCTAACATTACGTACCCGGGTTAAAATAGCCTGGCTACCCTTGCATGAACTGGCTCACGGGGCTGCCTCCTTCCAGGCCACTAAACTGAAAACTGTAGCCCCATCCCCTAGGAGCAGGCTCACAGCCTGATCCATAATATCAATTAATATAAAATTCTTCACAGTATCAATAATAATTTATTCGTTTTTTTTTCGCATTCTTCTGTCTGCTTTTCAGGTTTTCAGATGTGAATTCTGGCAGACCTTGAGAAAAGTTGAAACTGTTGAGGGTTTTTGTGGTATAGTGGAAGCAAGCCTGTTTTTTCAGTTAATCCTGCTCTTGTGAGTTGTGACTGGAATTATCCAATATATAAATACTAGAGATTTCAAAACATATTGGCACTGATTTTATACTGAACAATACATTGTGTATATGCATTGAAAAATACATATATACGTTGAATGCCTGTGCATAGACCAGTGTATATATCCTGAACAATATACCTTTGTATATACTTAAATTTTTATTTAAGTGATTATGATATGATCGTTTTATATGATTATATATAAATTCTTACAGTTTAGAAAAATATTTTATTATTTTTCGTATTCACGACTAGTCTAATTTTGTATTGTCAGTAAAACTGAGGATGGTTGACGTGAAAGAAATCCAAATATTCTTCCTTGAAGCCTTTTTATCCACTTCTCCGAGGCCATGGGTCCCACAATTTACACCAGAGGTGGACCCCATCATGTATATATATATATATATAATATATATATATATATTATATATATATATATATATTATATATATATATATATATATATATAAATATATATATATATATATTTTTTTTTTTTTTTTTTTTTATCACACCGGCCGATTCCACCAAGGCAGGGTGGCCCGAAAAAGAAAAACTTTCACCATCATTCACTCCATCACTGTCTTGCCAGAAGGGTGCTTTACACTACAGTTTTTAAACTGCAACATTAACACCCTCCTTCAGAGTGCAGGCACTGTACTTCCCATCTCCAGGACTCAAGTCCGGCCTGCCGGTTTCCCTGAATCCCTTCATAAATGTTTACTTTGCTCACACTCCAACAGCACGTCAAGTATTAAAAACCATTTGTCTCCATTCACTCCTATCAAACACGCTCAAGCATGCCTGCTGGAAGTCCAAGCCCCTCGCACACAAAACCTCCTTTACCCCTCCCTCCAACCCTTCCTAGGCCGACCCTACCCCGCCTTCCTTCCACTACAGACTGATACACTCTTAAAGTCATTCTGTTTCGCTCCATTCTCTCTACATGTCCGAACCACCTCAACAACCCTTCCTCAGCCCTCTGGACAACAGTTTTGGTAATCCCGCACCTCCTCCTAACTTCCAAACTACAATTCTCTGCATTATATTCAAAACCACACATTCCCCTCAGACATGACATCTCCACTGCCTCCAGCCTTCTCCTCGCTGCAACATTCATCACCCACGCTTCACACCCCATATAAGAGCGTTGGTTAAAAACTATACTCTCATACATTCCCCTCTTTGCCTCCAGGCCCAAAGTTCTTTGTCTCCACAGACTCCTAAGTGCACAACTCACTCTTTTTCCCTCATCAATTCTATGTTCACCTCATCTTTCATAGACCCATCCGCTGACACGTCCACCCCCAAATATCTGAATACGTTCACCTCCTCCATACTCTCTCCCTCCAATCTGATATTCAATCTTTCATCACCTAACTTTTGTTATCCTCATAACCTTACTCTTTCCTGTATTCCCCTTTTTAATTTTCTTCTTTTGCACACCTACCAATTCATCACCAATCTCTGCAACTTCTCTTCAGAATCTCCCAAGAGCACAGTGTCATCAGCAAAGAGCAGCTGTGAAAAACCCCCACTTTGGTGTTTTGATCTTTATCTTTTAACTCCACGCCTCTTGCCAAGACCCTGCATTTACTTCTCTTACAACCCATCTATAAATATATTAAACAAACCACGGTTGACATCACACATCCTTGCCCTAAGGCCTACTTTTACTGGGAAAAAATTTCCCTCTTTCCTAATACTCTAACTTGAGCCTCACTATCCTCGTAAAACTCTTCACTGCTTTCAGTAACCTACCTCCTACACCTTACACTTGCAACATCTGCCACATTGCCCCCTATCCCCCCTGTCATACGCCTTTTCCAAATCCATAAATGCCACAAAGACCTCTTTTGCATTATCTAAATACTGTTCACTTATATGTTTCACTGTAAACACCTGGTCCACACACCCCCTACCTTTCCTAAAACCTCCTTTTTCATCTGCTATCCTATTCTCCGTCTTACTCTTAATTCTTTCAATTAAACTCTACCATACACTTTACCAGTACACTCAACAGACTTATCCCCTATAATTTTTGCACTCTCTTTTATCCTTTGCCTTTATACAAAGGAACTATGCATGCTCTCTGCCAATCCCTAGGTACCTTACCCTCTTCCATTTCATTTATTAAACAATTGCACCAACCACTCCAAAACTATATCCCCACCTGCTTTTAAACATTTTCTATCTTTATCCCATCAATCCCGGCTGCCTTAACCCCTTTCATTTTACCTTCTGCCTCACGAACTTCCCCCACACTCACAACTGGCTCTTCCTCACTCTACAAATGTTATTCCTCCTTGCCCTATACACGAAATCACAGCTTCCCTATCTTCATCAACATTTAACAATTCCTCAAATATTCCCTTTCCCTCTTTCCAATACCCCTAACTCTCCATTTAATAACTCTCCTCTCCTATTTTTAACTGACAAATCCATTTGTTCTCTTAGGCTTTCTTAACTTGTTAATCTCACTCCAAAACTTTTTCTTATTTTCAACAAAATTTGTTGATAACATCTCACCCACTCTCTCATTTGCTCTCTTTTTACATTGCTTCACCACTCTCTTAACCTCTCTCTTTTTCTCCATATACTCTTCCCTCCTTGCATCACTTCTACTTTGTAAAAACTTCTCATATGCTAACTTTTTCTCCCTTACTACTCTCTTTACATCATCATTCACCAATCGCTCCTCTTCCCTCCTGCACCCACTTTCCTGTAACCACAAACTTCTGCTGAACACTCTAACACTACATTTTTAAACCTACCCCATACCTCTTCGACCCCATTGCCTATGCTCTCTTAGCCATCTATCCTCCAATAGCTGTTTATATCTTACCCTAACCGCCTCCTCTTTTAGTTTATAAACCTTCACCTCTCTCTTCCTGATGCTTCTATTCTCCTTGTATCCCATCTACCTTTTACTCTCAGTGTAGCTACAACTAGAAAGTGATCTGATATATCTGTGGCCCCTCTATAAACATGTACATCCCGAAGTCTACTCAACAGTCTTTTATCTACCAATACATAATCCAACAAACTACTGTCATTTCGCCCTACATCATATCTTGTATACTTATTTATCCTCTTTTTCTTAAAATATGTATTACCTATAACTAAACCCCTTTCTATACAAAGTTCAATCAAAGGGCTCCCATTATCATTTACACCTGGCACCCAAACTTACCTACCACACCCTCTCTAAAAGTTTCTCCTACTTTAGCATTCAAGTCCCCTACCACAATTACTCTCTCACTTGGTTCAAAGGCTCCTATACATTCACTTAACATCTCCAAAACTTCTCTCTCTCCTCTGCATTCCTCTCTTCTCCAGGTGCATACACGCTTATTATGACCCACTTCTCGCATCCAACCTTTACTTTAATCCACATAATTCTTGAATTTACACATTCATATTCTCTTTTCTCCTTCCATAACTGATCATTTAACATTACTGCTACCCCTTCCTTTGCTCTAACTCTCTCAGATACTCCAGATTTAATCCCATTTATTTCCCCCCACTGAAACTCTCCTACCCCCCTTCAGCTTTGTTTCGCTTAGGGCCAGGACATCCAACTTCTTTTCATTCATAACATCAGCAATCATCTGTTTCTTGTCATCCGCACTACATCCACGCACATTTAAGCAACCCAGTTTTTAAAGTTTTTCTTCTTTCTCTTTTTTAGTAATTGTATACAGGAGAAGGGGTTACTAGCCCATTGCTCCGGCATTTTAGTCGCCTCATACGACACGCATGGCTTACGGAGGAAAAGAGTTCTTTTCCACTTCCCCATGGACAATAAGAAATAAAAAGAACAGAGCTATTTAGAAAAAGGAGAAAAACCTAGATGTATGTATATATATATATGCATGTGCGTGTCTGTGAAGTGTGACCAAAGTGTTAGTAGGAGTAGCAAGATATCCCTGTTATCTTAGCGTGTTTATGAGACAGAAAAAGAAACCAGCAATCCTACCATCATGCAAAACAATTACAGGTTTTTGTTTCACAGTCATCTGGCAGGACGGTAGTACTTCCCTGGGTGGTTGCTGTCTACCAACCTACTATATATATATATATATATATATTTGTCCAACAAGTCGGCCGTCTCCCACCGAGGCATATATATAGATATATTATATATATATATATATATATTATATATATATATATATATATATATATATACTATATATATATGGTTCAAGTGTGAATTAATGCTTGTATAAAAGCAGCACTGGCAGTATCATGACATGGCTCGCCAAGAAGGTGCCATCAAGGGGGGGGATTATGCTGGTGAAGCGCTTTTAAGCCGAGGAATTGGAGTTACCCTCTCCTTTGATTCAACATGAGTACCTCCTATTCCCCAGCGGTTGTATGACTCCGTCAAGTGAATATTATGATACTCTTGGCGTAAGCGTTCTGCTACCTTACACAGGTCTTGCATGTGACGGCGCAGATCATGTGACTTGGACGTCAAGCCGGATGGCATTGGCTGCAGCAATAT